CAGGGGCTGGCTGGCTCGGGGAGCAGGGAACAGGAACGGGCAGGGGCTGGCTTGGGGAGCAGGAAACGGGGAACAGAGCCCGGGGCAGGGGCTGGCTGTCTCGGGGGATCAGGGAACAGGGAACGGGGCAGGGGCTGGCTGGCTCGGGGGAGCAGGGATCAGGGAACAGGGCCCGGGGCAGGGGCTGGCTGGCTCGGGGGAGCAGGGAACAGGGCCTGGGGCAGGGGCTGGCTGGATCGGGGGAGCAGGGAACGGGCCCGGGGCAGGGGCTGGCTGGCTTGTAGCGGGGGAATGGGATGAGCTGGCTCCGGACCAGCAGTTCTGGCCTCTTGCCCCAGCGCACGCAGCCCAGTGGGTCTCTTTCCCGGGAACAGGTGGCGCGGCGGCAGGGGCCGGGGGTCAGGCGTCATCGGTCCACAGTTCCCACCGCCCGCCCCATCTGCTGCCGCTTCCCGTCCTCCGGCAGGGTGGGGGGACCAGCTGGCCCCTTGAGCCTGAGATCTGAACCTCAAACCCATCGCCCCCTACCGGGGACAGGCCCCAGCCCCGTTCCCTGCCCTGGGGCCGGATGGGGGCTGGACCCCCCCACCCCATTCCCTGCCCCCCTCAGCCAGCCAGTCCCTGCCCTGGGGCCGGATGGGGGCTGGACCCTCCCCACCCCATTCCCTGCCCCCCTGAGCCAGCCAGTCCCTGCCCTGGGGCCAGATGGGAGCAGGGCTGTGATTCTGCAGCACCCAGCAGTCCACACCCTATATCTCAGTCTCCGCCCCTGCCCCCACTGCCTCCTCCAGATCCGGCCCTGTGGGGTCAGGATGTTTTACAGACCTCCTCCGTGCTGGGAGATTAGCGGCTGCCATGTGGGATGGTAGGATAGCAACAGACTCCTGGGGATGGCTCTCTCCGCGCTGAGATGCAGCCACCTCTGGGGTGGGGAAGCTGGGGAACAGCCACACATAACGTCGCACGGGGACGGCTCGCCCACCACCTCTGGGGTAGGGCATCTGGGAAACAGCTCCACAGTGGTTTGGGACAGAAAGTGAAGAAGAAACCTCCCTCCCCGCCATGAAAATGCAGGGGAGGAGGCAGGGATCTCCTGAGTGTGGCTTGGCCCGGACGCCTGGGGTCACCCCGGACGCCTGGGGAAAGGCAGAGGAAGTGAAGAAGCCCAGACAGGACAGGCTGGACTGGGAATGAGAAGGTGACATCAAGTCGGCAACAGCCAAGGGCAGCGTCACCCCTGGGCCGGATTCTGATCACCGCTCCCCCAGGGCCAGGCTGGACGCAGCCTGACCACAAGGTTGCAAATGATCTCATCTGAAATAGTCCTTGGCTGGGAGCCAGGATGCCTGGGTTGTCTCCTGAGGGGAGTGGGGGCTAGTGGGTTACAGCACGGGGGGGTGGGAGCCAGGATGCCTGGGTTCTCTCCCTGGCTCTGGGAGGGGAGTGGGGGCTAGTGGGTTACAGCACGGGGCGGTGGGAGCCAGGACTCCTGGGTTCTCTCCCCGGCTCTGGGAGGGGAGTGGGGGCTAGTGGTTAGAGCAGGGGGCTGGGCTGGGAGCCAGGACGCCTGGGTTCTCTCCCCAGCTCTGGGAGGGGGGGAGCTCAGGCCCCTGCATTCCCCCGCCCGCCCCCTCAGCGCTCGCACTCCGGGTTCTGATGAACACCTCGGTGCAGAGTGGGCGGTAAAAGCAAGACAGATTTGTGCTGCTTTAAGTCACTTGCAGCAGCATCCAAACCACGTTGCTAATTTCTGAGCTGCGGGAGGAGGCGGTGCTGGGAAGAGAAGAGAACACGCGGCTGGAGCCATCAATTCCCACCTCGCACGCCCCACACGGCTCTGCCCGGCGCAGCCCAGCCGGCAGGGCTCGGGGAGGGTCCCCAAAGCCTGCAGAGCTTCCTAAAGGCCCGCCCCCAAAATCCCCCCGGGGCCTCCAAGCTCACCAGATCGTCCCCAAAGTTCACGAAGCACATCCAATCCCTGCAAGCGACGTTAGAGCCTCACGCAAGCTTGCCAGGATCCCCAGATCTCCCATGAGATCACCAGATCCATCCCCAGCCACCAGATCCCCTGTGAGATCACCAGATCCATCCCCAGGCCATCAGATCCCCCGTAAGATCACCAAAACCATTTCAAGCTTGCCAAATCCTCCCTACAATCACCAGATCCCCATAAGATCCCCAGATCCATCCCAAGGTCACTGAATCCTCCCTGAGATCGCCAGATCCGAGATTGCCCCCAGCTCACACTGTGCCCAACCTAGGAGGAGATTGCCTACAACTCAGAAGTGGTGGGGGGGGGTTGGATTTTATCGGGGCGATGTCTAGTGACAAACGGAAGCACGGACAGGCCCCCCGACCGGAGATGGCTGACAGGGCAGGGGAAAGGATCCGGGCCTTGGAAGAGCCGACGCGGGGCTGGGATCCCTTCAGAAACCAAACTGCAGCTGGAATCAGATTCCTTCCTAATTGGACACTAAAGCAATGGAACCCAGGAGTCCTGGCTCCCAGCCCCCCCTCTACTCTCACCACTAGACCCCACTCCCCTCCCAGAGCCACAGAGAGAACCCAGGAGTCCTGGCTCCCAGCCCCCCCTCTACTCTCACCACTAGACCCCACTCCCCTCCCAGAGCCACGGAGAGAACCCAGGAGTCCTGACTCCCAGCCCCCCCTCTACTCTCACCACTAGACCCCGCTCCCCTCCCAGAGCTGGGAAGAGAACCCAGGAGTTCAGGAGAACCCACGCAAGGCCCTGCTATCCCCCAGCTGCCCATGACCCAAGCCCCCTGCTCTTATGTGTGACACTTTGCTCCCCACTCCCAGGGGAAGGGGGGGTATCTGGACATCCCCCCCCCCACCAAGTGCACCAACCAATCCAGGCTCCATTACCCCATCATCCAGCCTTGTTCCACCCCATTAGCCATGTACTCATGGGGGGGGGGGAGCAGGGAGAAGGGACCAGGGGTACCAGGACAAAGCAAATCTACAGATGGAGACCCTCCCACACATGCATCGGGGTTAGGTTCTAGACCCTCCTGCTGCCAAGAGTCCAGAGCATGTTCTAGCTCCCTCCTGCTAGCAGTATCAGGAGCAGGTTCTAGATCCCCTGATTGCCAGGGTGTCTCTAGAACCCTCTGGGGCTTGAAGTCCCTGGTGCGAGGTCTCTATCCCCCCTCCATGTTGCCAGGAGTGTTGTGGCTGGCTCTAGAACCCACCTGCAGATGGCCATGACAGGATGAGGATCTAGAACCACTGGGAGTGGCAAAAGTAGCTCTAGAACCCCAGCTGCTAGGTGCCAGAGTCTGTGCTCTAGAAGGCCCATGCTGCTCTAGAGTCCTCATGGTACTAGGTAGGTTGGGACCGTGATCTAGAAACCAGTTACTAGTCTTCATGAATGTAGACATGCTCTGGGTGTCTCTAGAACATCCATATAAGGGGACCAGGCTCTAGAACCTCAACTTCCATGACCCCCTGCTCCTTGATGCATTGGGGTGTCACCTCTATAACTTCCTGCTACCAGACCCCCCCCCATCTAGACAGGTCAGAGGAGCAGGTTCTAGAGCCCCGTCTGCTAGAAGTGCTGAGAGGAGACTCTAGAACTGTTGCTTCCAGATGCACTGCGGGATGCCCAGAACACCCCTGCTTCCAGACGTGTCAGGGAGCAGGCCTGAGAACCCCCCGCTGCCAGGAGCACACCTGGGGCAGGTTCTATGATCCACTGCTTCTAGGCGTGTCTGGGGTGTGATCTAGAACATCATACTTTCAGAGGCCCTGGAAAGAAGGCTCTAGAATCCACTGTTCCTTGTTGCATCTGGATCCTGGCTCTGGAACCCCTTCTTCTAGATTTCAGGAGACCAGGCTCCAGAATCCCTTGCCTTTAGACATGGAGAACCCCTTGCTTCTAGACACATCAGGGGAAGCTCTAGAGCCCCGGCTGCTGCAAGGCTCAGGGAAGACCCTAGAAAGCCTGGATGGGGAGTGGGACAGGTTCCAGGGAGATAGAGAGGGAGAGGTGAGATCTATTGGAAAGGGGAGGGGTCTATTCTGGATCAGGGTGGATAGAAGAAAGGGAACCAGGCCATAGGCAGAGGGCTCTAGAGCGGGCGTCAGAGCAGAGATCCAGAGAAGAGAGGGATCCAGAGCAGGACACTCCAGACTCCTAGAGCACAGGAGACTGATCCGAAGCAGATCTCCCGAGTGATCTAGAGCAGGGTGGCTCCAGGACCTAGCGCGGGGGGAGAGAGATGTAGGGCGGGATCCAGAGCAGGGAGGGGATGGATCTAGAGCAGAAACCAGAGAAAAGAGGGCCAAGGATGCAGAGCAAAGCAGAGATCCAGGCATGGGGACCCCCTGGGATCTAGACCAGGGGCAGGTTCTAGAGCAGGGGCACAACTCCTTACTTTCTCTGCAGGGTGGTGGCGGGGCTGGTGCTGGCACTGGTGCTGTGGCCCCCGCCGGCTCCGGGACTGGAACTCCGCGACACGCCCCGGCTCAGCGGGCCCCGCTCCCTCTCCCGGGGCGGGCGGGGGTACTCCCGCTCCTTGTCTCGGTTCTGGTGGGGGCCGCTCCGCTCCCGGAGGGAGCCGCCGTCTCGGTGCAGCTGGCATTGGTCTCGGTAGTGGCCGTCCCGGTTCTGGTAGGGCCCCTCGCGGTTCCCGGGGTGCGGCTCTCGCTCCTTGTCCCGGTTCTGGTACGGCCCGTCCCCGCGCTTCGGGTACTGGCCCTCCCGGTTCTGGTACTGCCCGTCCCGCTCCCCGCGGTTCTGGTACTGCCCTTCCCAGTTCTGGTACTGCCCTTCCCGGTTCTGGAACTGGCCCTCCCGCTCCGTCCGGTTCTGGAACTGGCCCTCCCGCTCCGTCCGGTTCTGGAACTGCCCGTCCCGCTCCGTCCGGTTCTGGAACTGCCCGTCCCGCTGTGTCCGGTTCTCGTACTCCCGGCCCGGGTGCTGGTGGCACGGCCCCTCCCGCTCCCGCTCCCGGCTGGGCTGCTCCCGGTTCTCCTCGCGCAGGTCCCGGTTCTCCTGGCTCAGTTGCTCCAGCTGCCCCTCCAGCTCCTCGATCCGGCGCCGCTGGGTCTCCAGCAGCTTCTGCTGGCTCTCGATGATGTTGTTGAGCTCGAGCAGGTACTCCACGGCCCGGCTCGGGCTGTCGGCCCCGGGCGCCCCCGGTCCCCCCTCCATGGAGAGGGACGCCCGCAGGAGGCTGCGCCCGGAGCCGTGCGCCCTGCGCCCCGCAATGATGGAGAGGGACTGGGGCGGGGGGGCCTCGACCCGCCCCGCTCTGCCTCTCCCCCCGGGCCGGCTGGCGAGCCCCCAGGGGGCTGCAGGGTCCCGGCCGCCGCCGGAGCCTTGCGGGGAGCCCCGGGGGGAGGGCCTTTTGCGGGGGGGGGGGCCGCCCCGGCTGCTGACTCCGCCGAGCGACGGCAACCGGAGCGCCCGCCCGCCGCAGCGCACAACCCACTGCGCACTGCCGGCGCGGCGCGCCGCCCTGCGAGCCCCGGCGAGCCCCGAGCCCCGAGCCCCGCCGGGGGGGAGCCCCGAGCCGGCGAGCCTGGGGTGGGGGCTGAGGCGAGCCCGGGGCGAGCCTCGGGGCTGTCCCTCAGCCCTGCCGGGGGGCAAGCCTCGGGGTGCTCTGAGACATGCCTGGGAGAGGGGGGAGACTGAGCCGAGAGTGGGGGGGGCAGGAGGGGAGCCCCCAGTTGAGATGGGGGGGACAAGGGCAAGCCCTGAGCTGTAGGGGGGTGTGGAGCTGGGGATTCCCAGGGGGGCAGGCCAGGGCTGATCCAAACAGAGAGCCCCACAGCCCAGGGAGAGGGGCTTGGGCCCACAGCTGGGGGTCAGGAGGCTGCCCTGGGGGTGGAGCCCCAGCCTGTGGGGTGTCCCCAGCTCCTGGGGTGAGTCGTCGGCCCAGCCCTGCAGGCCTCATGGATTGGGGCCAGCCGGCCAGAGAGGGGACACGACTGGGGTAGGAACATGGGGCTGGGCCTGGGGGGCTGAGTCGGGATCAAATCTGTCACCCCTGGGGTACCCGGCTTCTCCCTGCTTAGATAACGGGTGAATTCCACTGCCAGAGTGTGCATGGGTGGGTGGGGGGCAGTATTGGAAGGCAGGATGGAGAGGGGAAACTGAGGCATTGGGCCCAAAAACACGAGGCAGGGTGGAGTCCTGGCTCCCAGCCCCCCCTCCGCTCTAAACCCCTGGCCCCCACTCCCTTCCCAGAGCCAGGAGAGAACCCAGGAGTCCTGGCTCCCAGCCCCCTGCTTTAACCACCAGCCCCCACTCCCTTCCCATAGCCAGGAGAGAACCCAGGAGTCCTGGCTCCCACTCCCCTCCCAGAGACGGGGAGAGAACCCAGGAGTCCTGACCCTCCTTCCAGATGTCAGGTGTCCCAGGCCTGGGCCCGGGCATGGCTTAGAGGGGTCAGAGGTGAAGACCAGGCAGGAGGGAAAAGCAGCGAGGCCTGGGGGGAACCCAGCTGCACCCCCCTCTAGGGACTGATTGATTAATCTGGGCTAATGAATGAATCAGTCTCCTACTTCCAATGCACATACCACAGCAGCGAGTCCCTGCACCACCACTGGGGAACAGCCATCCGGTGCTGAGATGCAGCCACCTCTGGGGTAGGGAACAGCCGCACGTAACACCCCACAGGGAGGGCTCGCCCAGTGCGGAGATGCAGCCACTGCTGGTTGCCAGGGGAGAGCACTCCCTCCCCCTGGTACTGTGGCATTCTGTCCTTATCTTAGGGGGGCCCTGTTGCCCCCCAAGTAGGGTCAAGTGGTCAGAGCGGGGCAGGGCTGGGAGCCAGGACTCCGGCGTTCTCTCCCCCAAAATCTCCTCCTGCCAGCCCACTTCCAGAACTCATCTGCCAAAAATGCCCCAACCCCTCCCACTACCCCCTACCCCCTCAGGACCCTTCACCCCACCCAAACTGTGTCCCTCCCTGCCCCCCGGGTTTTGTGGGTTGGGGGGAGGGCGGGCAGCGACATTCAGCCCC